CCTTCTGCAGCAAGCGCTTCAGGTCCTCCTCAGTTTCAGCAAGCAGGGTTGTGTCATCTGCATAACACAGGACATTTACAGCCTCTAGAAAACCCCACTGGAGAGTCAACTATGAGTAGTATTCCACTCAATGGCATGTACGAACAACAGTAAAAAAGAACAACCAATATATACACATTTAGCATGCTGTTGTTGTTAAGTGCCGTTGAGTCGTAGGTAACTCATAGTGACCCTATGGATGAAAGTCCTGGACACGTCCTGTATAAATTTTGTCTGTTCTCCAGGTTCATAGGGTTTTCAGAGGCAAGCTTTTATGGAAGAGGACATCACTCCTGCTTCCAAGCTTGTTTTGATCTGGGAGCTCCACATTCTTCTAGGTTGTATAGCCCTGATGTGTCCTCTTGCTGTAGAGTGGTAACTTGTGGTTGCTGTGAAGCCGAACACTGTGAAAATAATGAGTCAAATGCAAGTATGGTGGGGAGCTCAGGTGGCCTAGTGGCAAGAAGCTGCAACTACAGTCCCAGAGGTGCACGGTTCGAATCCGCCAGATGCTCTGCTGGGGAAGGAGGTGCAATCTCCTCCTGTACCAGTCAGATCTGATTTGACGGTACACACACACAAAAATAATAAAATGAAAAAAAATGCAAGTATGGTTACCCGTGGTGGACAGTGTTTGGTGCAACTCCCCACCACACACACACATTTAGCGTATAATATTAATATGTTCTGCAATAAAATGTTAATATTAATCTAAGGGCTCTAATATTAATCTAAGGGTACATAAAGTCGCTATGAATCGCAAGCGACTCGAAGGCACAAAACAACATAAAATCTGATTTCTGTGTAACTGAAGCTATTAATGAATTTCTGCATAAAAGTTTTCATAAGTATTTCTTTTAAAAATTGAACCACAGAAAGAGAAGTCTAAGCATGGAGGGTATTTCATTTTTAATGTGTTAATTCTAAATTTAATCTTTTGAGGAAAAGAATTCTAAATAATTATTAGGGGAATATAAAGCAATAAAGGCATGCATCTAATTTTCACTATTTCAGAGAGTAAATGTCATACAGATGTGTGGCCTTAACAGTTTTGATGTTCTGTTTAAGTAAAATGGAGACGCCAACATGCCCCATAACCTGGCTCTTTTCTCTGTTGTTGTTGTTATTGTTGCTGTTATATTCCATTGAGTCTGAACCGACTCAGTCTCTGATGTACTGTCCCTGAAAACCCTTGAGCTGGTTTTCAGAGACAGAAAATCACATGAGAGGATATTGCCCATCCTGATTTCCTGTGGAGCAGCTGGTAGATTTGAACGGTTTATCTACAAAGTTGAGATGGGCAATAGGCATAATCTCCTCCCTGTCCTTTTGTAGGTACAGTATGGGAATTTCTTTCCTCATACTTCTGACTGTCCCAGTTCAGGCTCTGGAACTAGACGGCACGTTCCAGAGCTTACGTGACTCATCATGAGAACCCTAAGCACCCCTGAAATATCTCTCTCCAGAGCACTAATGGGTTGGTTTTTAGTTTTGGATTTTGGAGGAATGCACAGTTTACCCCCTCTCGCTGGTAACAGGACTTCAATTGCTGGAAGGAAACAACCATGTCTCCTTTTTCTTTGTAGCATGGGGGGTGGGGGGAAGGAAGTATTTTTCAGAACAAGAAGACTGTACCTTACATCAGTACACTCATCCTTTTCTATCTCCTTATGTTGACAGATATTGATGAATGTGCACAGATGCAACAATACTGCTCCCAGGGCCGCTGTGAAAACACCGAGGGGAGTTTCCTGTGTATTTGCCCAGCAGGATTCATGGCCAGTGAGGAGGGTACTAACTGCATAGGTAATGGCAGAGCTTTTCTTGATCTGTAAACTGTCCAAATCTGAGTTCTTAGATCCTCCAAAGACTCGTAAGTCCGGTGATTATTGAGGTGACTCAGACATTTTTATTACACACCTCTTTTGGCAGAATATCCCAGAGTGATAACAATAGTTTAACACTCTGCTCCAGACTGAAAAGTTGGCAGTTTGAACCCACCCAGCTGCTTCATAGCCATTGAGAAGCGTGTGGAGTATAGTTTTACTCTGATTCACATGTCATAGCTATGGGTCAGAATCAGCTGGATGGTAACAGATGGGTTTGTTTTTATGTAGCTGATGGTTGCTTTGTAAAGCACTATCTTCCAGCATAAACTCACTGTGATTGAGTAGAGTCCGACTCCTAGTGACTCTCCAATAGGGTTATAAAACTTTAAATCACTAGGGAAGAGCTTGCCAAGCTGTCTTCCAAACAGCTGGTTAGTGGACTTGAACCACTAACCACTGGGTTAGCAGCCCAACATGATGAGCTTTACCACCAGGGCTCCTTATCTTAGAGCACAAGGCATTGAGAAATAGAAATATGGATTTCTTGCCAATATTTTTTTGTAAGCAGAGTGGTAAGTGATTAATGTAGAAATAGAAAGATAACTAGTAAAGCAGGTATGAGCATCCAAGGGGGGGTAGGGTGGGCAGGGGGTGATCATAGGGTCCCACAATTTGGTGGGTGAAGGGAGGGGTGGGTAAAGGAAACGGGAAAGATCCGCCTGGGATCTGGAAAGACAGGGCAATGGTGGGCATACTTCAGTGTTGATTAATTTTAGAAAATATAATTAATTGGAGTGATTGTATCAAACACAGTGTGAATGAAGATAGTATGAAAAACAGTGCATACAAACTTTGCAAGCGAACCAGTATAAATTTTTAAAAAACCAAACAGCTTGTAAATGGGTGCACAGATTAGTGGCATTAAATATTCCTTTTGGATCTGCATGACTCCAAGTCTTCCCATTTTGACGCATGAGGAAGAGGTGAGAGTGGTAGTGCACTTCTTCCTTCTTAAATCTGCACTCACCTAGGAGCCAGGAGAGATTAAAAATGCAGTTTGGGGAAATAAAATTGGCAATGCCCTCTCCCTCCATAGATGTTGATGAGTGCCTGCGGCCAGACGTGTGCGGGGAGGGACACTGTGTCAACACCATGGGCGCCTTCCGCTGCGAGTACTGTGACAGCGGCTTCCGCATGACGCGCAGAGGACGCTGTGAGGGTGAGTGTGCGACCTGGACGTGGAGGGCTGGGTCCAGAACCCAGGTCCAGGGGTACCCAGGAGACACAGGTTTCCTCTGCTCCTGTAGTCCTGGGCCAAACTTTTCTGGGACTTGCATCCTCGTGACCTCCTTTGAGGAATTCAGTGGGGAATCACTCGCCATCTTCATACTCCCCTTCATGCATTCCATATCTGCCCTCACTAGCATTTGAAGTGACATCTCCGTGGAAGCAATTGGTCACAAAGCATCTGAGTTCAAACCCAGCATTAATTGCTGTGTCTAGGTCATTGACCTGGGAGCAATGATGCAGGTATAGCCATTGTTGATGTTTAAGGTCTCAACCTTTCACCTGGTTACATTCCTTTGCCTCCACTTCTTTCCGGCATGCGTGTTCTGGAACTTTCTTTCAGACAATCTTCAGAAAGACTGCCTGACCAATTCTGAGCCAAGGGCTATTGTGCCAGTTTAAGTTTCTCTATTATGACCAAAAAGGATAAGTTTGTACTTATTACAAAACTGTTTTGAGAAATGTTTATAGCAGGGCCAAAATTACTGTCCAGTTAATATGTTTATGCTTGTTTCCAAGTTACACAACCATCATGGTACCTTTCTTTGGTAATTTTTTTTTCTCCCAGGAGGACAGATGCTGACGTTCTACTTAAATCCTGCTGTGGACATGTTAGGAAGTAGAGCCAGGGCATGAGAAAGGCGCTGGTTTCTTGGGATCCTCTGCCTGAATTACCAGCCTTTTTCAATACAGTGAGGCTCCTAGACCTAGGAATTGGGGTTTAGGGGATGTGGGGGAGTCAGTTCCCAGCTGGCCTTGGCTTCTACATGGTGTTTATTCTCACCTGATGACCCAGGCCCTGAGGGAGAGCTAATTAGATACTTTCTGGCTGACTCCACCTGCCTCTTCTGTTGGCCTCTTGAGTTGCTAGTCTCCCCTTCCCTGGGGATCGGTTCCAGAGAGGAGTGAAAGGTTCACCACAGTGGATCAGACCAACCAGGGATCAGAATGAAGCCATGAGCCCTCCCCTGAGAGCCAGGGGCGTGAGGCAGGTGTAAAGTTCCTGATTACTTTTGTAAGGAATTGGCCTCCTATTCTTAAGAGAGGCACTGTGGGATTGCAAAGGGCCCCAGGCCATAGAATCCACCTACTCTGTACCTTGTGACCTGGAAGCCATGGCAGGTGCCTGGAATTGTGGATTTGATTCCAAAGTGCCACAATAAAAGCCCGTCATGTGAATTTTTTGGTTTCTTAGTGCATGTCAAAGTTGGGGTTGTACTATATTATTATCTGTTAAGTTTGCATTATGAAGCTTTTAAATATTATAAGAATTGTCAGCTTGTGGCACAGAGACAGGGAGTGAGAAGGTGCTATTGGAAGAATGGTGCTGACGATACAGATACAGAGATAGAGATAGAGATAGAACAGATAGATATAGATTTAGATATAGATGATATAGATAGAGATAGAGATAGATATATAGAGATACAGATACAGATACAGATATAGAGAGATACATACAGTTGATGCAGAATTGCTGCAAACCTGCCATTTGTTAAAAAAAAAAGCATACAAACAACAAAGCCTGCAGTATCTACAAAGTAAAATAAAAAGAAGTGTACCTGGAGTTATCTTACCGAGTTGTCACGGAAATAAAATGCGTGCTGCACTTTTCTTGTATGAGGCTTGTCACATTGTTAATACTCTAGAAGCACCAGTTTCATTAAACCTCTTTCCCTGACCCATTTTGCATCATATCTTCTCAGTACATCTAGAGAGAGAGAGAGAGAGGATAGTGGAGAAAGCTTAAAAACAGAGGGTAAGGAGTAGTAGTTAATCTTTATTAATATGTGTATGCAAAGGCATCCCAGCCTAAACCTCTAAATAATGATCCTTCCTTTACGTTCTAAAACAGTCCCACAGGAGATTATGAAAGTGTTTAAAACATAACAGTGTCAACAAGAACAGAAAGAATAGACCAGAACCTTGAAAATCATCTCATTAAATTGCAAGCAGTAAGACTAAAAATACAGAAATTATTTAACAGGAATACTGTCAGGGTTCCTTGAGTAAATAACAACTATTCTGTTCCCTTGAAAAAGCTTGGGAAGGAGGAACCAAGAGGCAGTGGTTTTCTGATTCCATTGTGGATCAGGACCAAATGTCCCCGGGCTTCTGGCTGACGGAAGATTTTCTCAGCTGTCCCTGACAAAGCTGTTTTAAAACTGCGCCAGTCTCCAACGAGGCTATTGTACTTTACAAGACATTATCTCATGCATCTTTACTTGATTGTTTTACTGTATGAAAAGGCAGGTGATTGTTAATTCAGAGTTGAGGGAACAAGCTAACAGAGATGAGTGAGAATTGCAGAAATTAAGAGAAGGTATCTTGGATTGCTCAGCTTTGCACCTTATTTGTTGAAGCAACCTGTCTCAGTGACATTCTCTGATTTAGCAGCTGTAATTCTAGCATTGAAAAAAGGAAAGAAAATCCAATCCAGAGGAGACTGTAATGCTGTTTGGAAAATGAAACTGGCAAGCACCATCTTTTTGTAGAACAAAGAGTCCCAGAACATCTGACCTCAAAACAACCACTGTGTGTCATTGTCTGTTGGCAAGAATTTTTTGCTGATAGAAATAAAAAATAAAAATTAGAATGCTGACCTGGTGCTTATTCTGTTAGTCTCCTCTTCAACTGTTTGACTTTAAGCCTCTTTTCCTCACATGCCTATGATACATGTTTTTGTTCTGTGCCTTCAAGTCACAACTGACTCATAGTCGATCCTCTAGCGGGTTTTCAGAGACTATAAATTGTGTGGGAGGAGATTGCTTATCTTTCTCCTGCAGAGCAGCTGGTGGATTTGAACCATGATTCTTTGGTGTGTCAGCAACCATCTTCTTCTCTACCAGTAGGCCACCAAATTTCATTTTGCTGATACGTTGTTGTTGTTGTGTACCATCAAGTTAGAACCAACCCATAGCTGACAAAACCTGCTGACACTCCAGCAGGTTTTCAGAGGCGACTAATCACACAGGGGAGGGAGACTGCTCACCTTTCTCCTGCAGAGCAGATAATGAATTTTAATCATATACCTACCTTGGGTTGGCAGCACAATACCTTACCCCTAAGCCACCAGAGCTCCCTTTAAATTTGGTTAGGAATCCTATTTCTATTTCTCATGCTCAAATGCACGACAGATCTTTGTGCATCTTCTATAAATATCTGTTTTATTGTGGCAGATAAATATGTAGCAAATTATTGGGCTTATCAAAGTTATTTATGCATAAATTTTAGTGACTAACATTGTGATGGGAAAGCCTGTTGTTAGGGACCTCTCTAAAGTACTCGGGAGCAACGGTGTCTCTCTGGAGACTAAGGTGCGTTTGATACGGGCCATGGTCTTTGCAATCACTTGTTATGAGTCAGAGAGCTGGACAATGACCAGGGAGGATAGAAGGAGAATTGATGCCTTTGAGCTGTGGTACTGGAGAAGAGTGTTGAGGGTACCATGGACTGCTAAGAAAACAAACAGATTCATCCTGGAAAGGCTTAAGCCAGGCTGCTCCATGGAGGCAAGGATTCTGAGGCTTCGTCTGACATACTTTGGTCATGTTGTAAGGAGAGACCGGTCCTTGGAGAAGGACATCATGCTTGGGAGGGTGGAGGGCAGGCCCAGGAGGGGAAGGCCCTCTAGAAGATAGATTGATTCGGTGACTGGGGTAATCGGGATGAGTGTGTTGGATATAATGAGATTGGCACAGGACAGCAGAGTTTAGAGCTATTGTACATAGGGTCACTAGGAGTCGCAAGCGACTCGACGGCACATAACAACAACTTATGTTCAGCATGTTGTTTTTATTTACCTTCAAATATTTTGAGCATACTCTTAACAGACTTATTTTTTCCTAAGTGTTTAATTCTCCCTTCCTCCTCCCTTCCAACAGCCTCTGGTGGCTATAAGTACACTTTAATGTCTGAATATCATCCTTCATCTTCCCTTTTTTCAATTTTTTCCCATTATCTTTAGAAGTGCCAAAAGCTGTTTCCATATTCTTTCCTAGACTGATATTTCCTATGGTTTTTAAAATATACATTTTTAAATGTTTAAATTTAAATTTAAAAATGCCAACTATAATTAATAAGTTAACCATACATATGAAGATATATGCTGAATAGACATTTATTTTTAATAGAAAAACACTACACTCTGTATGCTGTCATTGGATTTTCTGTAAAATCTTGGGAGCATGTGATGAGTTCACTGTATTCTGTCACACTTTTTTCACCACTCAAGAATTTCTATTATATGAAAAGTTTTAAATTATTTTAGTGTAGAATTTTCTTGATTCCATTAAGCCAAAATTAAGATTTCCATAGAGTTCCTGATTCCTGCACAGAGAACCTCAAGCCTGGTGCATATATGAGTTCTTCATTCTCATCTCTTTTCCCCTTAATTCATTCTGACAACATTTACTATCACTTGAAATGTTTGATGTCTAGGAAGTAGCCCCAGTGGAACTGTCTAAGTTCCTGGAGAGGAGTGCCCCGGCCCTGCCAGTTTAAGAATGGAGGGTCAAGTTCGTCCTTGGAATGTGTGCAGTTATTTTAGTCAAGGTGTACCTACCTGTGCATTGTTTTATGTGCTTAAGTGTGTTTCCCACGTGTCCTTCAGTTATTATTTTCCATACTGCATTATAAATATAACCTGATAACTGCTTTCCCCTCTTCAGAAAGTTAAGTGTTTGCTCTGGCAAGCTAGTAAAAGATATGTGATGTAGCTTTTTGACTTTTCAGATATTAACGAATGTTTGACTCCAAGTGCTTGCCCGGATGAGCAGTGTGTGAATTCTCCAGGATCTTACCATTGTGTTCCCTGCACAGAAGGATTCCGAGGCTGGAACGGACAGTGCCTTGGTAAGTTCCCACTAAAGTGTTTCTTTTGATGCATTTTCTAATGAAGTCTTGAAATGCAAAGTGAGCCAGTTTCTCTTAAAGTGAAAATAAATGTGAACTGCAGTGAACTCATATAATTCTAAGAAAAGTGAAGCCACTTTTTCTCATGGGGAAAAATAAGATAAAGGTTGTGATATTTCAAATGACGCAGAAGTGTAATTGAAACAAATTAGTTTCTGGCACTTGATAAACAACCCAGTCAGCACAGAGGAGAGAGGTGAAAAGGAAAAGGCCTAAGAAGGAGAAAAATTGCATAAAATGAGGCTACCAGAGACAAATAGAAGCTATTTTTTTTAAAGGAAACATTGCAAGAGAAACCACAAATAGTTCTGGCCCTTTATATTTATTTATTTATTCACGTAAATATTTGATAAATTATCACTGAATGCCTGTGTTAGACCTGGTCTTCTCAGTCACCGGCTTGCATCCAAAAGCTTGGCAGTGAATAAAGCTGACAGAAGAAGAATTGATACTGTTGAGTTGTGGTTGGAGAAGAGTGCTGAATGTTCCATAGACACCCCAGAAAACAAAACAGGTATGTCTTGGAGAAAGTGCAGCCGCAACACTCCTTGGAGGCAAAGGGGGTAAAGCTTCATCTTTCATACTTCGTGCATGTAGCTAGGTGAGGCTGTTCATTGGAGAGGGACATCGTGCATGGAAAGATGGAGGGGTGATCAATAAAGGAAAGACCCTCAGTGGGATGGATTGGCATGGTGACTTCAATGACGGGTTTGAATGTTTCAGAGATGGTGAGGATGGCACAGGATAGGACAGGGTTCAGGTTGACTGTACAGAAGGTCACTATTGAGTCATACTCGACTTGATAGCACCTAACAACAGCAACAACATGCACAGTGGCTTTAGTGCTAATTACTGATGTTAGTTGCTATAGAGTCAACACTGACGCATAGTCAACAAAACGAAATGCCCGGTGTCGTTCCCACAACCATTGATGAGCTCAAGTCCACTGTTGAGGGTGCTGTGTTTTAAATTACATTCAGTGTAGGTAGTTAATCTTCTAGCGTTATATCAGAAAACGCTCTGTTGTGATCCACAGAGGTTTCATTGGCTCATTTTTCAGAAGGGGAAGATCAGGCTTTTCTAAGGAGTCTGTATTAGTCTGAATGCTCTGCTTAAGCAAGACAGGTTTCTATCTCTACAGTCTGTGTAGCAAATCAATCTGGGCATTTATTTATCTTTTAGTTTGCTTCCCATTTAATACTTTTATGTTTCTGTTTCTCTGAAATCCATGCTGTATTGAATATGTAATTTAGATTATTCCTTTTCCTTTTCTTCGACTTATGTTTTTGAGAGCTCTCTTTCTCTTTCCCCCCTTCCTTCCCTTCCTCTCTCCCCCATCCCTTCATTCCTTCTCCCCACCTCTGCCCTCCCTCCCTCCCAAATTGTACTGGTTACTGAAAGTACAGGAGGAACAGAAATTAAGATGAAGCCTTTTTCATTGTACCTACTAACTACTTACTGGTTGGAGCCCTCATTGTGCAGTGATGGAGTTCTCAGCTACTAACTAGAAGATTGGCAATTTGATCTCACCAGTGACTCCACGAGAAAAAAAGATGAGGTGGTCTGTTTCTATAAAGCTCTGTGGCCTTGGAAACTCCTGCAGCAGTTCTCTGACCTGTAGGGTCACCATGAGTTAGAATCTGTCAGTGACAGTGGATTTTATTGACCATTTAGTGAGAGAGACATACATTCACCCAAACACCTCATGAGTAACTGGAAACTTGCAGGTGAGATGAGTGCTGGCAGGGTTGTGTGCTGCTGGAGAGCATATGATTTAACTGAGAATCTGCTGGGAAAAGAGGGTGAGAGGAAAGGAGAGAATTCTTGGGGCCAAAGAAACAGCATATGCAGCAAACTTGGGGAAGGAGGAAACAGGCATGTGTCAGAGCTCAAAGACCAGCTTGGCTAAAGAGTAGAGAACAGGGTCCTGGGGGATTGTTGCAAGGTGAAAGGCAGACAACAAAAGGCTTCCTTGCTCCTGTTAAAAGTGGTGCTCTTTATTATGAAAGCTCTGGAAAGACATTTGGGTGTTTAATAAGGGATAGAGTAGAGTGGGGTGGCAGAAACATTCTTTATTTCAGAACCGTTACCACAGTGTGGCAGCATCAACTCAGCCGCTAGACACAGACAACCCTTGGCCCTAAGCCCCACTTGTTCCCAAACAAAATTGTGTAACACTGGGATTATGAAACAGAATTGCAAGAAGCCACAAAGATTTCACTAATTGTTTATTTGATAAGCACTTATTTATGTAATTGGTACCACTGAGTACCATTTGGTTCTCATTTTTCCATTTGGCACAGATTTCAGAGTTGTCTGTCAAGGTTTCATATATGTTCAAACATTTTCACATATTAATGCCTATAATCTAGGTTCAATGCCTGAACGTTACATTAAAACACAAATATTCACAATATTAGTGCAACCATTACTCTGATTCATGAACTTAGTAATGGAATGTGGCTGATTAAATTGGCAAGGGATTACCCTTTAATGTAAATGCATTTATCTAGATAGAATAATAGTGTTAAGTGAATTCATATACCCACTTGCATAAAATCAATCTAATTGTGACCACTTTGCTCCATTTAGTGGAAATGTAACACCTTTAAAAATTCTTTTGCTTTAGCCAACCAGATGACTAGAATCATAAGCAGCGGAAATATTAGGTCATTTTGTTTCTTAACAACTTGTTCCAAATAATAGCTAAGGTCATGTATGTCTTACTATTAAGAGTTAGCAGTGCATTTTCCTTTGTGCTGTGAGTAAGGGTTTAGGCCCAGATCAAGCCGCTTCTCAGTGATATAAAATTGCAGGTTCTATTCATTTTGAAATCACAGCTCTTCGAACTTCTCATTAGGGGTTTTGTAGGCTAGACCAGAATAGATTTTGTCTTAATGTTTTTTGGCATGTGTTATTTTTGGGATTTTTTTTTATAGTAGTAGTGCTGTCAAATGTCAAAAAGTTGAGTGTGACAAAAAGCAGATATTGTAATCAGCCTTTGTTCTCACACTGAGCCGGTGATTTGAGTGGATGTTTCTGCTGCAGCCTGAGGATGCTAAGGAAAGCCCAGCTCTGTCTGTTTGTTCTTGAGGTGCTGTACATTTGCATTCTCACCATCATACCTCTGGTACTGTAAATTATACTCCAAAATGTGCAGTTCTTTCTTAAACTTAACCTTTTGAGTTGACCTCATTGACAATGCAATTTGATATCTAGTTCTTCATTCATTTAACTAATATATTAAACACCTGCTATGTGCCAGACACTTGTCAACATCCTACAAATGGAAAGTGAATAAAATACTATTCACCTGATAGAGCTTATGTTTTAATGATGAGAAGTAAACTAGTGAACATATATCTGATGTGACAAATCTCATGAGGGGAAAAATAGAGCCAAATGAGCGAGAGAGGTGTTCTGTATAACCAGATGCTGGTTGTGATGAGGAAAACTCCAGATGACAAGTTAGCCACAGGATATCACTTGCTAATGAATTGCTGAAGATCATTTAAAAATGACTAGAATTGGTACTAAACACTAGAGCAGAAGCGACCCTGTTACAACACCTATTAACCCTGTACCTGTGTTTGCTTATAACAATTTCTGTACACATTCAGAAAGGCCTCACAGAATGATCCAGCTTACACGGCATGAATACAGAGAGGTTATTAATTGGTTTCAGAAACATCATCAGTGAAAGAAGCAGAAAGTGTAACTTATACAACAATCCTTGAACAACACAGAGGTTGAAATGGCAATTCATACTGAAGCCATGTAATGGAAAACAGAGTCAAATCTATATGATAAGTGATGAGTTTTAAAAGTAAGGTTCTTGAGCAAATAAAGCTGTATTGTCAGAGAAGGGAACCCTGTCTGGTTTAAAATCAAGAAAGGTGTGTACCAGGAGCTATATCCTGACTCCATACTTGTTCAGTCTTTATGCTGAACAAATCATTAGAGAAACTGGACTTCATGAGGAAGAATGTGGCAGCAGGAGCTGTAAAAACAGTGTTAAGCAGACGACACCACTTCATTTGCTGAAAGTGAGGATAACTTGAAACACTTGCTCCAGAAGATCAAAGACTACAGCCTTCAATATGTATTACATCTCAACATCAAGAAAACAAAAACCCTTACAACTAGGTTACCAACAGGCAACATCATGAAAAACAACAAAAGATAGAAATTGTGTATAGTTGCATCTCACTTGGATTCACCATCAACTCCCTTGGTACCAGCAGTCAAGAAATCAAAAGACTTGTTGCATTGGGCTAAGTGTGCAGTCAGGGGCCTCTTCAAAGTGCTAACGCGCAAGGATGTCAATTGAAGGACTAAGATATAACTGGAACCAAACAACAATTTTTTCAGTTACTTCCTGTGCATCTTAGAGTTGGACAGTGAATAAAGATGACAAAAGAAGAATTAATGTCTTTGAATTGTGTTGATATAGAAGAGTACCAAATATCTAAATATCCTGTGGACTATCAAGAGAACAAATGTGTCTTGGAGAGGGTGCAGCCAGGGTGTTCCTTAGAGGCAAAGATGGTGAAACTTCCTCTCACGTGCTTTGGGCATGTTGTTAGGACGGGCCAGTCCTTGGTAAAGGACGTCATGCTTGAAAACGTGGAAGGTCAACAAAGGAGGGGGGACCCCTCAATGAGATGGACTGGCACAGTTGACTGTCATGATGAGTGCAGGTCTGGCAGAGATGAGGAGGCTAGCACACAGTAGGACAGGATTCACATCTATCATTCATTAAGTCACTGTGAATTGTAGTCAACTCAGAAGCGCTAACAATGATTTAATATCTGTGACTACAGTTCCCTGTGACCAGTTATGCTTTTCTATTCTTTCAACATGGATACATTAGGATATTTATAAGGAATTTTTTCCAAATCTAGTTGAAAAAGCCCCAGACTTTGGGGCTTGAGGCTTTT